CAGATGATCGAAGTACAATAGTTTGTTTCTTACTTTTTCATGAAATAGAGAATCACCAAGAAAGAGATAGAAACCAGTAGTGGACTTGCAATAAAATCACTAGCTCAGTCCGTATTAGAGTAAGTACAAAGTTCCAAAGACTTAGAAGAACAAAGTAATAAACTCAACAAAAAATCCAAGTGTAGGCTCAATGAATTAAGGCCCAAATAGCAATGAGGTGTCCAACAGAAAATCAAAGCCCAACAAAAATCATTAGCAATAATGCCCAACAAAACAAAACCCAACAAAAAAAAAAAAAGAAAACCCAAATCAACAGCTTAATAGAAAGAAGCTCAAAGAATTGAGGTTGTCCAACAAAGAAAGAAGAAAAGTCAAACCAGCGGGCCTAAACAGTCCAATAGAAAAAAGCCCAAATCAACAAATCCAAAGGATTGTGGTTGCCCAACAAAAATCACTAGCAACAATGCCCAACAAAACATAGTCCAACAAAGAAAGAAGAAAAGTCAAACCAGCAGCCCAACATAGAGAAACCCAAATTAGCACCAGCCCAACAAAACAAACTCAAAGGATTGTGGTTATCCAAAAAAAAAAAACCACCAACAACAACTAGTTCAACGAGCAAGACCCAGTAATAAGAAGCACCAGCAGAAAAGAACGGCTTTGCCTGCTCCCAAAATGCCTGCATTTTTCACTGGAAGGGATGTGCCTGAATCAACTTCACATCAATTTTACACTGCAAGTTATTCGTTCGTTTCTGAAACCGAAGCTTGATAGGAGATCTGAGGGGCAATGAATTTAAGTGAGAAATTGAAAAAGAAAAGTGAACTGGGACGGATTGGGACCAAGAATTCAGTCATTTGACACCTGCTGTGATTTCTTTTTCTTCCTGTGTACTGTTGTATGACATAGTGTATATTCGCAACTGCTGTGATTTCTTTTTCTTCCTGTGTATTGTTGTATAACATAGTGTATATTCGCAATATTATTCCATAAAAAAGAATTAGTGAATACAATGTGTGTCACGATCCTAACCTATAAGACACGTTTTACACCCTTTATTATCTGTAACTTTTATCAGGGTACAGATCCCTTATATTCTTGGAGGATTCACGTAAGTGAGGCTAGTATAAGACCGTGACTATGAATGTTCTGTAAATGGTTTGTCTATTTCTGAAGTATCTATACTATAAAGAGATGTATCCTACAATTAAGTAGAAGCCTCCAAATTCACATTCCTAATTTTCTAAGTGACACTCTATTATTGGTTTTGAGTCCTTCTCATGTTTCAAATTTTGATTCTGAATTCAGCTGGTCATATTATTATTATTAAATAATCATTTACATTCGACCGTATATCGCACGAGGTTGTCACTAGTGTTATCTATTGAAATGGGATCGGCTATACATAATTGGGACTCTATCAAACACATGGGAATGATCTACTCTGGAGAGAAATTGAAAAATAAAATAAGAGAATTTGGATTCCATAATTCTTTCATGGGCTTCAATCATTTGGAAATTGTTTTTGAGAATTTTTAATTTTTTTCATGTTACTTTATGACATGGGACAATGTTATTTAGATTTAAAAATATAACTTAATTTATTAATCTAATGAAATAGTTTCATTGTAACTATTAGACTAACACTAAATTCTAATATTTGATGGAACTCACAGTCAATCCAATGATGCGTGTTTGCCTGTCAATGATTTGAAAATTTGGATCATATTTGTACTATTCAGATTCAATTGAATCCGATTTTAAAATTTTAATCTGATTTTTCAATGATTTATTTTCATTATTTGTATTCGATTCGTTAAAGATTAGATATTGATTCCAATATACGATCTGTTTCAATTAACTTAATTAGAGTTGATTTTGATAAATTACACATAAATTTCAACTTCATTTGATATAATAATCCCTAATAAACATAATATATTTACATATATATATATATATATTTGTGAGGTTGAAATCAAATTCATAAAGTATGATATGATGGACTCAAATTTGAATTGGGATAATCGGTTGAAATATTGATTCATATCCAACTAATTAAATTCAAATGCTGATCGAATGATAGATCCATTTGCATATTTGTCAACATGGTATTTGTGAATTTTAATTTGGTTTGAATAATAAACGTGGGAAAAACCAAGCAACCTTGAAATTTCAGCCTAAAATTCTTCAATTTTCCAATACAGTTGATATCCCTCCGCAATAAGATACATTTCAGATAATGCAATGATCAGCTCATCAAATACAACGGGACTGAATTTGGAGCTTTGCAATGGACTAAAGTGTATTGAAAACCAAGGAACAAGCTCGCTGGGGTTTGCGTGTCTTGTGTAGAGTTTCTTTGAGGTCTTTCATCAAACACCTTGCGTTGGTTACCAAATTTGGCATTGGTCAGGTTGGTCAAAAAATTGGGCAGTTTCAATTGGTGCTTGGTTTCAACCCAAACTATGTACATTTGCTTTGATCATCTTCTTTTCGATAGTTTCGATCGGAAAGTTTTCGATTTCGACCAAAATGTTAACGTTCAAAAATAATGTTTTTTATTTTGTATCATTGTCATTCGATCCTAAAGGGACTCTGGAAGGGATAGTCTATTACATATTCGAGGAATTGTCATTACATGGTCAAGTTGGTCAAAAAAATTTGATGGTTACTGATTAATTTGATGAATGATATTTGTGAATGAAATAAGTGGATTTGGATAGTGATTGCTATGACTATCTTCCTAGGTTTGCTTACACCGAGCACCTTGTGCTATGTGAGAATGAGAAAGCGCAGATTAGAAGGAAAATGTCCTACAATGAATGCATCAGTTAGCTGCAAAAAATTAATATTCCTATTTCTTTTTAGTAGACATGAAAATTCAGAGTGGGAACTAATAGTATTGCATGGGGGGGGGGGAGAAAAAAATAAGCGAAAAGAGTATTTACTTGCGTTGAGAGCTTCAAGCAGCTTTAACAATGTGGATGATCTGTTAAACAACGGGAGGGACAGACATCATTTGAATATTTTCAGCTTTGCCTCCATTGCGACTTCCACTAATAACTTTTCACATGAAAACAAGCTTGGAGAGGGTGGATTTGGACCAGTTTACAAGGTAAACTGCCAACCCTGTTGCATAGAAATTGACCAGTGGTTTTGTTTTTTTCGGTATAAGCAAGAACTGACAATTGTTTTTTTCAGTATAAGCAAGAACTGACATTTGTTTTTTTTTCAGTATAAGCAAGAACTGACAATTGTTTAATAGGGACAATTACCTGAGGGGCGAGATATAGCAGTCAAAAAGACTGTCCAGAACATCAGAGCAAGGTCTTGTGGAGTTCAAGAATGAGCTCATACTCATAGCCAAACTCCAGCATACTAAACTTGTAAGGGCTCTTGGATGCTGCTTACATGGAGAAGAAAAGATGTTAATTTATGAGTACATGCCCAACAAGGGCCTGTACTTCTTCCTATTTGGTATGCAACACCCCTACCCTTATCTAGTTTCAATTGATCAAATTTATTAAGGCATCTTATCATATAACACTCTTAAAGCATTTCCTTTTTTTCGACTGAGACAGATCTATCTAAAAGGAAGCTACTAGATTGGCAAAAAAGATTCAATATCATCGAAGGGGTCGCTCAAGGATTGCTTTACCTTCGTAAACATTCAAGAAAGCTAATAATACATAGAGATTTAAAAGCCCGTGACGTATTGTTAGATGACAATATGAATCCCAACATTGCTGATTTTGGCATGGTAAGAATTTTCAAGCCCAATGTAACAGAAGCAATGATTAATAGGGTTGTTCGGAAGTAGTAAGCAAAATCATTTTTTTGTGAGTTTAAAATATTGTTTATGCAAACCCTAATATAGTAAGGAAGTTTGCTTTGATCATTGTGTACATCGGTTACATGTCACCCGAGTATGCCATGGAGATACTTTCTTAGTAAAGTCTAATGTCTTCAGTTTTGGCGTTTTAATCCTGGAAATTGTGAGCGACCGGAGAAATACCACCTTCTATCATCTTGATCATCCACTCAACCTCATCAGATTCGTACGTTTGTTTTATTAAAATCACATTTACTTCATTTTCTAAACCATCTTGTTTGTTATATACATCTAGAAATAGAGGATATATTTCATCATGTGGACATATATGACAATGATAATTTATTGACACAGGCATGGAAGCTATGGAAAGGAGGAGATGCATTGGAGTTAAAGGATCCAGTACTAGGTGATTTGTGTGCAACACATGAAGTGTTAAGAACCATTCATGTGGGTCTGTTATGTGTACAAGAAAGTGCAATGCATAGGCCACCCATGTCAGATGTTATTTCAATGCTTAGTATTGAATCTGTGCTTTTACCTGCTCCAAAGCAGCCGGCATTTTTCACTGGAATAAGTGCACCTGAGTCAACTTTATCGGAAACCAAGTCAAGGGAATGCTCTGTAAATAACTTGACCATTACTGTAATGGAGGCACGATATGAAAATGAATTCTTTCTTGTGCTGTTTTTATTTGATAGTGAGCTGGAAAATCTGTAACAACTTAACCATTACTTTAATTTTTTTTGTAAACAGTAAATGTTGTAGAATTTTAACAAAGCAAAGTATTCCTGTGTGTGTTCTAACATAGTTTCTTTTGCAGATATATTGTTCTTCATAATGGTTTCTCTTTTGCAGATATATTGTTCTTCATAATGGTTTCTTTTAATTTATTATTCTTGTTATCTCACCTAAAAATGGTCAAGAAAGCCGGCAGAATAGCTGACACATACTGATTGTCCTCTGCTTTATTTTACTCTATCTCACTGTTGACATTTTCCTTTTTCAATGGAAGCACCACATGACCATTTCATTTTAAACTATCTCCTACACCATAAGTCAATGGTGTGGGTTGCTTTGCCAGCAATATACCTTTCAGCAGCTTAATAAAGAATTAGCTTATGTTTACATGATGAAACAGAGCAAGTTACAGAGACAAGTTCTTATGGCTACCAGGGAGAAGGGCTTAATCAATCCCATTTTCATGCTTATCTTGGCATTCTTATGCAGCCATGCACTATATTCCTCTTCTGTGGCAGCAACAAACACAATCAGAATTGGTGATGAAGTCAACGCAACTTCGAATCTTGTCTCTGAAAATGGCAACTTTACTTTAGGATTATTCACTGTGTCAAGTCCAAATTCCAGTTACTTTGGCATATGGTACACAAATGATGTACAACGGAGGAAAGTATGGGTTGCCAATCCAAACTCACCTATCACCAGCAGTTCTGGAGTCCTCACAATCGATAGCACTGGAACATTGAAAATCACCAGCGGAGGCAACACTATTATGCTTCTTTCTGCTCAAAATGGAACAGCCAATGCAACAGCTACACTAGAAGACTCGGGTAACTTTGTCCTGATTGATGGAGTTCAAAGGACTTTGTGGCAAAGCTTTGATCATCCTACCAACACCCTTTTGCCCGGTATGAAACTTGGTTATAATCTCACGTCCGGACAAAATTGGACGCTTACTTCTTGGCTTAGTGATTATATCCCTGCCTCCGGGGCTTTCACTTTAACCTTAGAATCCGACGGAGAGTCAGCACAGTTGGTCATTCATCAGCGAGGAGAACTTTACTGGACTAGTGGACCTTGGTCCAATCATAATTTCATGTACACGTCTGAATTGATTAGCCCTTTAAATACGTACCAGTACAACCTCCACCTCTTCTCCAGTGGTGATTGGAAGTATTTCACTTATGATGCTGTTGATGCAAGTTTAGGGATATTGGAATTGTCTTCAAATGGGCAGATTCTTGATGGTGCTAATAATCTTGCCGTTAGCGATTATGACTTTTGTTATGGATTGGGTTTGGGTGGGTGTGTGAATAAAGTGTTACCCGGCTGCCGGAGCCAAAGGAATTGGTTCCAGGAAATGAGTGCAAATTTTCCGGGCGCACTTAGTAGCTATGATTTCAATTCAAGCCTAAGTCTAAGTGATTGTATGGAAAGGTGCTGGAATGATTGCAATTGTGTCGGTTTTGCCAACGCAAACAATGGAACAGGCTGCATATTGTGGAGCGGAAACATTGAGTTTCAAATAGATAATCGTGGTGACGCTTTGAAGTATGTGCTGGCTCCAGGAAAACCCTCCAAAGGTAAGTCATCTTCACCACATATCTATTTTAAGCCTATATTAAATTGCCTGGTGACATCCCTTTTAGCCCATAAAGACAAATCTAAAACTCAGCCAAAAAGATTTGGGTTTTAAGGAGAACCAGTGGATTTGTGATTATTAATTTTAAGAACTGGGGGTTACATGGCATTTAGATTTAGTAAAATGTAGATACATAACAAATGATTTATTAAAATTTGGACAAATCAATGGTAAGTGATTGATGAATGATATTTGTGCAGGAAAAACATGGATATGGGCAGTGGTTGCTATAGCTATCTTCCTATGTTTGCTTACATTGGGAGCCCTGTGGTATAAGAGAATCAAAAAGAGTAGAATAGAAGGTAAATATCTACAATGATGCATTAGTTGGCTTGAAAAAATTAGTAAGCCTAGTCTTGCATGCAGGTGAGGAGAGAAAAAGGCAAAAGGAGAATTTACTCGCATTGACTGCTTCAGACAGCTTAAACCATGTCAATGATGTTGAGAACAATGGGAGGAAAGGGCACGATTTGAACACATTCAGCTTTGCTTCAATTGCAGCAGCCACAAATAACTTCGCGGATGAAAATAAGCTTGGAGAGGGTGGTTTTGGACCTGTTTACAAGGTAAAGTGCAATCCATGTTCGATTGAAATTTATCAGATTCAGTTCAGTATCAAACACTGTGCCGGGTGAAGGTCAGATGTAATGGCTACCCTTTGGACTTTGTCCAGTATACGCAATGACCTACAACTTTTAATAGGGACAATTACCTGAGGGCCACGAAATAGCAGTCAAAAGACTTTCAAGAACATCAGGGCAAGGGCTTGTGGAGTTCAAGAATGAACTTATACTTATAGCGAAACTCCAGCATACTAATCTTGTTCGGGTTCTGGGATGCTGCGTACATGAAGAAGAAAAGATGTTGATCTATGAATACATGCCCAACAAGGGCCTGGACTTCTTCCTATTTGGTATGCAACATTCCCATCCTGATCTAGTATCAATAGGTCGTTAAAGCCTTTTATTGATAACACTCTTAACTCATTTCCTGTTCTTCCCCCGAGACAGATTCAGCTAAAAGGGGGCTACTAGACTGGTCAAAACGATTCAATATCATCGAAGGTGTTGCTCAAGGATTGATTTACCTTCATAAGTACTCGAGAATGCGAGTAATACATAGAGATTTAAAAGCTAGTAACGTATTATTAGATGGAAATATGAAACCCAAGATTGCTGATTTTGGTATGGCAAGAATTTTCAAGCCAAACGAAACAGAAGCAATGACTGACAGGGTTGTTGGAACGTAGTAAGTAGAGTCATTTCTCTATCTATGGTTGTGCTGACTTTGAGAGCCTTTTTTCGGATAAACAGAGAATCGTCATCACGTGTTCTTTGTACTCAATATATTATTTATGACTTAATATATTAAGTTTCTTTCCTCTTGTCATTGTATACAGTGGTTACATGTCACCAGAGTATGCCATGGAGGGGACTTTCTCTGAAAAGTCCGATGTCTTCAGTTTTGGTGTCTTAATCTTGGAAGTTGTGAGCGGGAGGAGAAATAATACTTCATTCTATCATCTTGACCATCCACTCAACCTCATAGGATATGTAAGTCTGTTTTATTCAAATTTTGGACAATTTGATCCTTAAACTATGACTCCATCGCTACTTTGTTCCATCTGTTATTGAGTTTTTCACATTGCCTACCAGCTACTTGAATTGGTTACATTTTACCTCAAACCAAACTCGTTATTGCAATGATATTTATTGACTCAGACATGGGAACTGTGGAAAGAAGGAGCTGCATTGGAGTTAAAGGATCCAACACTGGGTGATTCTTGTGCAGAGCATGAACTTTTAAGAACCATTCATGTTGGTCTTTTATGTGTTCAAGGAAGTGCAATGGATCGGCCGGCCATGTCAGAAGTCATCTCTTTGCTCAGTAAGGAAACTATGCATTTAGCTCCTCCCAAACAGCCTGCATTTTTCACTGGAAGGAATGTGTTGGAGTTAGCTTCACATGAATGTTCTGTAAATGGTTTGTCCATTTCTACAGCGGACGCTCGATAAGATTTTTCATTTCGATACATTTTCACTCAATTTCTGTTGACAATCAATGGAATGTTATCAATTGAAATGTGATCGGCTATATGTAATTGGGACTCTACTAGTACATGGGTATGATCTACCATAGAGAGAAATTGAGAAAAAGTAAGGAGATTTGGATCTGAGAATTCTTTCATGTGCTTCTGTCATTTGGCAATTGTTTTGAGAATTTTTTATTTTTTGTGTTATTTCATAACATTAGACATATGTATAGAGGGGACACTATCAATTCCTTGGATAATTCATTGCATCATGCATATAGGCAAATGGAATAAATTTGGATCATTTTTTTTTACTAAACCAGGTTCAAATGTAACTTTAAAAACTCTTTATGATTATACAAAGGATTATAGTTTTACAATCTATATCTGAATGCGTTAAAAATTGGATATAAGATCCAAATATACGATTAGATCTACTTAACTCCGTTATATTTTATTCAATTAAAGTTGACATAAATTTCAATTCAATTTTATCCAACAACAACTAATGCGCATAGTATATCTATGTCTGGTTATGTAAAGATAGAATTGAATTACAAGTAAATCCAAATTCAAATCTATAAAGTATGCTTGGATCCGAACTTGGATACTTATTCAAAAAATTAACTTATATCCGACTAATCGGATTCAAATTTGAATGGAATTAAGATTAAATTCAATCCATTGATAAATCTGCATGTATATGTTATTTTAAAAGTTTTTTCTTTTGTTATTCCTCCTCATTTAAAGTGCTATAAAATGAGGAATATGATCAAATCACTCGGAGGTGGCTATGATGGTTAAGGCTTGAAAATTTTAGATATGACACGAAAATTTAAAAGGGAGAGCACAAATCCAATCACAAAACAGAAAGAAGAAGACACCAGCGAAGCCAAGAGAGACCTCCCCATAACAGAAACCAACCAGCAAAAGCCAAGAGCAGAAACTAGAACTAAAAGAAGCAGACAACGCCAAACAATCCAAAATTTTTCATAAATTAACTCAACAACTTTGTAAATCAAATACCCATAACAAATTGAGATTTCTTACATAACAATACAACAAAAATGACACTAAAAATCGAATTTCGGCACTGTTCACAACATGAATAGTAATTTCACTACTGTTCACAAACCTTAGAACCACAAAAAGTCAACAACCCATCAATCACTAGGCCTCAAATCACACAATCCAGCACTAAGAACCTTTAGTCGCACTACGTAGGCTTGATATGAAGTAAAAAAGTCGCTATAGATGATGTCAGCCCTAATCCAAGAATTTATTCTTTCTCCAACTAAATTACTGTGGTACTACAATATATTTTTGATCGAAACAATGCTTTGATAATATGTAAACTTTGATCAAATAAAGAAGAGCGAAAGAAATTAGAAGAAAGAAACTATTATTGAGGTATAACTAGTCAAAACAACTTTAAAGAAAAATTACGTATAAGAGGTCTTTATATAGTAGTGTAAAAGGAAAACAAACAGACTAAGTTAGGACAATAAAAAAGAAAACAAATGACTAAACTACCTCTAAGTCTGAATATACTAATTACTCTAATAATGGTGACCCGTCCCACCAAGGCGAGATGCTGTCCCTTTTTTCGCTTTCACTTGGAAGTAGGCTAAATCTATCGTTGTACATCATAAAAAGAGAAAGAAATTAGAGATACTCTTAGGTGTACCAAAACTGATAAAATATGGATTTGAAAGGTGGAAAATAGATGATTTTGAACCTAAACATTTGATGTTAAGTTATTGTATATTGCTGTGCTGAATAAATAATTGTCATGTGGAATCTTATTTGTCGCAGTGTTACAAATCAATCAACTCATTCACGGGTTGATGCTGATAATGCAATTAATATTTTAGGCATAGGTTAAGAAGGGATTAGGTGATAATGGTATTTTATGCATCAATAATTCAGATTAGAAATCATAAAGGAGAAGGATAAGAGATCTTTGTAGATTTGTTGACGCATGACAAGTCTATTGCTTCCTTCCACGGTATTGGAAAAAATGTACTGTATCGTTTTGTGGCTCTTTTTTTTCTTTTTTTTGGGGTAATGAAATTTAAGGATTCATTTATAGTTTTTGAGGGTCATTTATAAATTTTAAGAATCATTTACAATTTTTATGGTTTAATTTATAATTTTTGTGGGTCATTTATAATAGTTAAGATCGATCGCAAATAACCCTAAAAAATTATAAACGGCCCACAAAAGTTGTAATATGACTTTAAAAGTATTGAATTTTTTTGTTGTAAACAATTTTTTTTTATTTTTTGTTCAACGTACTTCAACTAAATTTTTTTTTTGGTTTGGTCAAAAACATGTCATCTACGCTGGGATTAAGGTATTCATGAGTGATAGATTTTTCGAAAATTCGGAGGCTGGTCTCCCTATATTGACTTATTTAGAGATAAGTCCGTCAAAGAAACTTATTTGGTTTTAAGTTTGTTTTTTTGTCAATTTTATTATTGTAATCTTTCTCTGTAGAAATGTTATAAACGACGTTTATGGACACAATAATCAGTCATATACATCTCCTTCATAATTGCCTTCAAATCTGGTTACAATCTTTCAAGTCACAATGTTTACTTTTCTGAAAAACAAGAAATCGACATTTACCAAAAATTGTTTATGTTCAAATTTTAAATTCATTACATTACATAAAATATAATTTCAATTTACTATTTCATTTTACTTTGGATTCCATCGACAAAATATTAATATTTAAAAAATAACAATAGTAATATATTCAACAAAGATAGTAACATGATCATTAAAAAAATAGTAATATGCTCAAAAAAAAAATAGTAACTTTGTAAAAAAATAATAACAATTAAGGATTTAATTCTGTCAAAATATGCATTAACCATGTAACTAAGATTCAAGCGAACTCATTTATTAGTTCTAAATTAAAGTGTTATAGATTTCGATTTTGTTGATTTTTTTGTTGCGCAAGACAATTGAATATTCCTTGGTTGTGTTACTGTGGAAAAAATTCATGTTATTTTACGTTAACCGAAAGATGGAGTTCAAAATTTTGATGTCTTGATATTCACAATTGGTGTTGAGTGTCGTAATTCAACTGTCGATTGTGTGTTACTACTCGTTATTTTATAAATTTTTAATTTGTAGATCGTATTTTCACAAAAATCATTAATTCGAAAGTTGATATTACTGTAAAAAAAAACTATTGTCTTGTATTTTATAAAATTAGATGTGTTATTGAGTACAAAGCTTTGATGTTACTGTAAATATTAAAGTGTATGTTGCATAATATACGTCTCAAGGTTTGTAATAGTATGTTAAAATTCACTATAGTAACATTAGTAACATGATTATACTAGTAATACGGTCTTAATTGTAACTTCAATCATAACACGACCCTAACTTGAATGTTATTATATATTAACATTTGTGTTACTAAACTTTGTTGGCATCGTTTAGCCTCCCTATATTATGCATTATTGTTATTAAGAAAATTTTGTGAACTGATTTTGACTTAATAAACCAACAATTTATTCGTACATTAAACTTCCTATATATAACTCTTCAGAATATATAATTTTCATATAAAACTTCCGTTAATTATCATAATATTTAATAAATAGTTTCATATATAACTCAATCAAGGGTTTTCATAT